TATATATATATATATATATATATAATTGTATTAAAAACCCTACAGTGAAGAGGAAAAGAGTGGGTGAGGGAGGGGATCTAGCGCTGGCCTATGTCAAGCATACTGAGGTGCCTACACCTCCAACCGCTCAATCGGACAATCTAGAAAGAAACTGACAGCAAGAACGCCACTGACATCGATTAGCGCCATTTCTTGCAACGTCTCCAGCCAAGCACAGATGGGGTCACTGGGACCCCATCCTGGGAGGCATACAACACCAACAACACCCAAACTCTTCGTGATCTCTTTGATGCCTTTCTGTCAAGTCATGTGCTGTCCGATTCGCGGTTTGTACCAACCTGAAAGGTAGCACGGAGAACAACACTCACCTCGATAGACTGTCTTTTGGCATGCGTAGCACATGACCGAGCCATCGTAGTCGATGATGCTGGAGATTTTCTCGGATTGAAGTGCCTGCAGCACAACCGAATACCCGTTTTCTAATCGCCTCGTTAGGCTGCGTTGACCACATCTCCACACTTCGTTTGGTGTTAGAAGAACGCCATATGTACAGGTGGACCGCTTCAAGGGTTCGTTCGATTCTGTCGATTGGTCATTGTCGTTAACTACACTTGCTCGATAGGTTATGCCTCAGAAGTCTGTGGACCTAATCTGGTACCTATATTCACATACTTCTGGGTGTGTGAGGGTGCATGATGAGCTCTCTTTAAGCTTCCCCACAAAATGCAGTGTCCGCTAAGGATGTCCGGTCTCTCCATCGTTGTTGAACTTCGCCATTGATGAAATAATCAGGCAAAGACTGGAAAGTCTTCAAAACCCCAATGTTCAAGTTGTTGCCGGTGCGAACCTTGTCGATCTGGAGTACGCAGATGACTTCTTCACCTTTGAAGACAAAGGCGAAGGACAAGCCCTGTTGAACAGAATGACCGATGTCATACCATCTTTCGGTATGCGCCCTGTATCTCCGAAGTGCGTGGTCGTGGTTCAGAACATACAGTCACTGAATACACCCTTTACAGTTCAAAGAGAAGCGCTGGAAACTGGAGAATTTCACGGAAGTGTGTTTGATGAAGTCAGTGCATGAATCTCAAAGACCGCAATCTATTGCTGGGTCTCAAGGGTCGCGTGTACCAGGCTACACTAATGGCTCTGTAGTGGGGTTTTGAGACATTTCCTTTGCGAACAGATGTGGGGCGTCTTAAGGTTTTTGACAACTCTTTCTCTTCTGTTCACTCTGGCTTTAAGCATAAATAAGATGAACTTTTTGGCTGTGCGGCAGTGAAATATCAGTGTCAACACTGATGTTGCTGTGTCTGACGATGATGATGCTACTGATGCTGCTGCTGCTGCTGATAAAAACTTTGACGTGACGCGTCTCATTTTGAGTGTGAGCTGGGGGAATAGTTACCTGCACTTTCCTTTTCCATATGGGCACTCACCGATCGGTCTCTCACTGCTCTCTGTTCATTACGTTCTGCTGATTCAAGAAGCACCTTGATTATGTATAGGACACTTTTGTCGATAAATGATTAAATGCGTCCACCCAAACAGCTCAGCTATAGTGCAAAACTCCGTAGATTGGATTGCTCCACCAGGGCGCCTCAATTTATCTGTAGCAGAACCTGGTATCATGTTTAGTTTAAATCCATAGCGGAATAATGATGGACAATGTCTTTTACACCCTCATTACCACCGAAGCACCATCGATACTACCGCCCGTCACTCGTTGGTTCATTGTTGGTTCTGGACGCGGTGGATACCATCTGCCATTTGGCATCCTTACCACTGGGCCAAAATGGATCCAAGTTGACCATACAACCATCAGTGACGAGCTCAATACTCAAATGCCAGTCATCCTGGATACAAATGCTGATTTAGAAATGAAATTCAGAGGATTTTATCGAGTTCGTCGACTGGCTTACCTCTCTGGGTAGCTGCATAGACTGTAGCTTTATCACAACGAAATAAATCAATACACGCACTATCTGTGTGTGTTCAGCATGTGCAGAGTTTTGTCATGTGTTAAGTCAGAAGACAATTTCATTAAATCTAAATACACGTGTGCAAGGCAAATGCTAAACTTATTCACTCCTGTGCGAACGCCCTACAGGGCTTCAGACGTTTGGTTATGCGTACCCTTGCAGCAATTAGGGCGTCATGTGGCTACAGTTTGTTCACCGCGTTCGCATGTTTGTGATGCGTAGCCGGGTACTTGATAATAATTTAGAGCAACTGAAGCAGCAAATAAAGCTCATCAGGTCCGTCATCATCATCATAGTCGTCGTCGACAGCACGACATCAGTGTTAAATACCGATGCTTCACTGCCATATAACCATGATTTATTTGAAAGCCTCATTGTGAAAAAACAGTAATGGTGGAAGTGGGAGGGACTTTGTACTATCTTACTACAATCATGGCTCAGGGAGTTAGAACGTGGATTTACTGACCAGAAGGCCTGCGGTTCGAACCCGACCTCTTTCTCGACTTCCCCTGTCTAGCCTTGGGCAACCTGGCTCAGCCCTCGTACTTCCTTCGGGTGGCACGGCAGCTACGCACCGGAAGGGTGTTACAGCTGAACGATTTAAAAAATATTTTTAATAAAATTTTACAATCATTCCGAGAGGCCTACACCTCCAAACACCCAGGCAATCTGGATAGAAACTGACAACAAGGTCGCCACTGACATTGGTTGGTAGCCATATCTTGCAGCGCCTCCAAGTAGGTGCAGTGAGGATCACGCGTTCCCTACCCTGGAAGGCGGATAGCACCGACAGCACCCAGACGTTTCGTGATTTTTTTCGTACCTCTCCTCCAGGTCCAGGTTTCCAGCACACGCACTACGCATGTCCACTCATCACCTACCAAAGTGGGCACTGTTTTCAACTCCGGGTTCTAGTTCGTGAAAGACTCACGGGGGACAGGTCGTGACTTGGCAACGCAAAATAAATGTGTCTAACGTCAAACCGAGTTCGGTAGAATCTTCAAGCTTTCTCGGTTGGGGTCCACTTGATTTTCCCGCACGTGATTACCATTGGTTATTAACTAGTAGGCGTCCTCTAAATTTGTCGGGCTGTCTGTCGTATAGTGGACTAATTCTGGGCGAGGTTCGTAAAAGTGGTCGGCTCAATTCCACTGGTGGCCTCTTGGATCGATGTGATGCCAAGAGTGGTTTTCCTCGTTGTTCTTCATCGTTCTCCATAAAGATAAGTTCACTGATCTTACACTGTCTTTTTCACCCCCATCGGGACTTTATTTCTCATGGTCGTAGGGCAGTTTCGCACCGGTCTTCGCTACTGGTGTTTCACTGTCCATAACGGCTGTACTGATAATAACAGGTCATTGGGCTCCAAATGGCTCAGTGATTAAAGCACGAATTTGCTGAACTTAAGGTCCGTGGTTCAATTCCAACAACTGCCTCTCGACTTTCCCTGTTTAGATTTGGGCAATATGGCAATATCTCAGCCCTCGTGCTTCCTTCGGGTGGCATGACAGTTGGGCACCAGAAGGCTTTTACTGCTGAACGATTATTATGTATTTTGATAGATTATCTCTTGATAGATTCCCTGTGGGTATCAGTGGTATCGGTAAGCGTGAACAACGGTGCGACAGGGTAAAACCATTCTCTCCCACGAGCTACAGTCAAACTACGGGGCAAAAATCAACTGTTCCGACGCATCTCTGTCATTTACTTCGGTGCCAAGAGACTCAACCAACCTCAAACACTAGAAGGTAGTTGTCAGCAAGGTTATTGCGTCAATCTAAAAGCCAGTTGGCCTCGGTCCATATCCAAGGCAGCCGTGCAACAAGTCTTGAGTGACACCACAGCACTAAGCACCTGTCGAGTTTTCTAACCAGGAATTTTCTCGGCATGAATTTGTACACCAATCAACTAGATTCAACCGGCCTTCGTTTAGATAGGCTGAAGGTTTAAATCCCTTGGGCCATCGTGAAATGCGCATCGCAGATTTACAACAAGCATGAGGCAGCACAACTAAACTTTTCAGCATCGACTAATTTCACTCGTGGAGTAATATGCGGTGACGGCATTGTTCCGTAGGCCGCTTACGAACTTGAACTATTGCTCCCTGATTACAAACGCATTTCTTGGCAAATCAACAGTTGCTAGGTCTGCATGAATGACAAGTCGACTTACTCCACTTTCACTTCGTTCCCTCCAGCCAACCGGTCTTCGAATTCCGAAAACGCAGCTCCAATTGTGTTGCGTGCGGACAACGCGATTCCAGTGTGCTGCAGTGTGTACTATTTCGAGGTTAGCGTCAATGTGAAAAATCGCTCAGGGTAAGTAGCTCATCACATTTCTATTCAGCCACTGTGCATTTGTTAAATTAAGTTATTCCTCTTAAGAGGACGGGTTTTTTGTGGAGCGGTTTGTTTCACTCACATGATTGCTTGTTACTCCGCTTTTGAACGATTTTCTGTCCTCCATCCTGATTGGATTATCTCTTGGTGTCTCGCTTTATCTTTTGGCTACGCATATCGATCTTACTAGTTTAATAACAGTGGGCTAGCGAAGCCCAGACAATTTTTAGTCCGCGCCGACCCAATGGGTGTCAACCGTATTGTCCGTTGCTTTCCATCCATTTTCTGCGTAATCGTCGTTATAACAACGTAGATTTTAGTCACCAGTTTACTTAAGTAATCTCTTCTCTTTCATCATTAATTGTAATCCACTCGAATGTTACCATTGATGAGGACTTAAACGAACAGTTATTCTGAGCATAGTTCTTTTCCGACAAAGCGGACTTGTATAAAACCCATAGTTCTGTAAGAAATCTAGGGGTCACTTTTACCCTGAATTTAGTGACAATACGCAACGCCTAGAGGAAAAAACACCAGCAGTACCGATTATCCCCTCTTAGGTGATGTGTTCTCTGACAAAGGACCACTGTTGATATGGCAATAAAGACGCCACTTATGAGTAGCAATATTTGAGGGGGTCGATAAAATCATACAAATCAAGGCTGATCGAAGAAAGATGCATTCAGTGCCTGGTTTTCTGTGCTATTCAACCTGGGTTCAGCTTGCCGTCCAGAGATCAATTTAATCGCTACAAGTCAGTCACTTACCGCAAACTACGGGAGACGTATTTCAGACCTGTTATGTTCTCTATTGATCAGTCAGTCAACCTTGTCAGTTACACACGGAATTGAGAAGACAAAAAGCCTTGAGGAAATTATACTGCAGCAACTGAACAGCCAATATCGAGATTCGAAGAATCAAGAATGGAATGGAACAAAACAGTCCAATGAAAGGCTGAAATAGAGAGAAATGTTGAGCAATATGTTCGTTAGGAGGAGTGCCTCCTAACATATCTGATCAACATTTCTGCCATTTACCGTTCGACCCATTCCTTCTCTGGTGCCCGTCGTTGTCGTATGTGCTTGGATAATTGTCCTGCGCCAAAAATTTACAGACCAAATGATTGCACCTCTTTATCATGGACATCGTATCGCCCGAGGGGCGCTGCTAACTTGCATTTTCAACGGGCTATATAGGAGTACATCTTCTGGAACATCTGTAGATACGGACCCCATTGCTGGTTCTACTGAGCTTGCTTCAGTTCATACCATAGAATATACTGCATCACCCGTTATTACTAGCCGTTGCTCCTACCCCCGGTACAACCAGAGTCATTACTTTTATTGTAATGCTTGTTGGCTCCAGTCGGCGAACCGGCTTCGTGGGTTAATAGTCGTGACAACATTTAGATGTCATCTTTCTTTTAACGTAGAGGGTGGTCGTCATCAAGTATTGGAGCATACTGTATCTTTGCTTGTACAGGCGTACCTCACTCTAATCATGTACATACGCGGAGGACTGACTATTCATAGTGTTCACAAGCGTGGTATGCTATCTGAATATCCTGCCATTGCGTGTGAAACTGTCGATCGAAATCATTGCCGTACATCTCACTAAAATCACAGCTAGGAGGTGAAAAAGTGCAGGTGATTAACCTACGAGAGGATGGATTATTCCCACGCAAAAAGCTTAGTGTAGCTGTTCTAAATTTCTGTGTGATATTCTACTCGTCTCAAGGATTTTCTGCGCATGAATCAAACATAATCTCGGTTTACTCTTGACCATCCAGCAGTCTCTGTTACTCCACCAGGATTTTTCGCGTTCTCGGCGTTAGCCATTGTCTGTGTTTCTCTTTTACGTGGACTTTATTTCCCTACTGTTCTGTTACCATCGTGGGCTAAGTAATCGCGCACTGATAGCGAAATAATGAGCTTTTAGCGTGTAGATAGGTGTGAAGTCAACATAAAAGATGCGGCCGAAAATGTGCAATAACGAACATGGTGAATAGGCTAAATTAGCATTGAATGTTACGCTCCGCCGAAGCGAAATTTCCTTCCGCATGTTGATGTTGACTTTCCAACTCAGTTGTTCGTAATTAACTTGGGGTGTTTGTGATGCGTTCAACAGCTTCCTGCTACAACATCGTACCTCACACCTATGCAGAGTAAGACACGACTCAGCGTCAGCAACTCGCTGTTTTTAATGTCATTTAGGAAAATAGAAAACGTGGAAATACATTTGCGATGGTCTGTTGGGAGTAACTGGGTCCTTGAAAGTGATGGATTTGACCAATTCGAAGAACAAAAGACGAAAACTATAAATATTCGGTTAACCATGGAGAAGAGTCGGGCTGGATTGAAAGACATTATAAATGATGTGGATACCGTGAGTGGAGGATAAGCGGACCTATATCCTGTCTAAGTGCCAGCGAATCACAGCCGCTCGTGGTTGAACGGTTGAGTGTTCAAACTGATAACGTGGATGTTGCGAGCTGGAAACCCCCCTACAGCTTCATGAGATGCGCACTGCCAATGATCTACAATAAGGGTGAAACAGCTGTACAGTGGTTTTCGGTTTTTCAGCATAGATTGGGTTCATTTAATGGACGAAATCTCCACTAAAGTTTGCACACCTCACACTGCTAACAAGTGCAACGCCCATAGCTGAAGTGTGGGTACCAACTCTTCATAAGTGAAGCTGGAAGCGCGACTTTTTGACAGTGGGTTTGGGGTCCAACAATCACCAGTTACGGATGAGGGGACTTCTACAGATAATCAAGTAAATAAGGACTGGGGAAGGGAACTCCAATCAAACGGCACTCTACAATAAAGTGAATTTTGACCTAGCCTAGAAAGAAAAGCTAGAAATCTGAAAATTTGCTTATGATGATGGATGAAATCTTGTCGGGATGAGAAAGGAGAAATAAATTTCAGTGATGCATCTTTCGCCACTTTTCGTGTACAGGTCAAGTACCAGTCTCGGCGTGAAGAGAGGGTGAGATTGAGCAACATGACTTGAGACCATGTTGAGTGGGCACCTGGATGTGACACGTTCTAGGGCAATATGGAGGAACTAAGTGTGATTTCATACAGTGCCAAGGAGCTTCCAGATAAGCGATTCTCATAATCATTGGCCTTGGAAGACACCACTCAAGAAGCACCTCATCACTATCATCTGAGGATAGGCTGCTTGTTGCTAAATCGCTTTCATTTTTGACTTGATAGCTCAAAACCGAGTATTAATGGGAAGTTCACGCTCGCCCAATTTTCCCGTTCTGGTTTCTTCCAGCGCGATTGCAGTTGGCATTTGTTCCTCTAGATCCTCTCTTACTGAATGGCCTGGTAAGTGTTCCCTATTTCCTGTCATAACTATTGCGTGTCCCCATTACCGCTACAGTCTGGCAGGTTTGTTGTAACTCAAATTTCCATATTAATCTGATTGCGGATTCATAATCGTTGTTCACAATGGAATAGGACCCCAATATTTTTGAAAAAGGCAGCTTCTTGTCCCCGCCTATTTATTCGATCTTCGTTCGGCTTACCAGCACGCAGTTTACTCCGGTCGGGACGGTTCGAAACCCATGGCCAATATATTCATCTAAGAGAAGTCACCGGAGGATTACATCCAGTGTCGAAATTGCGTTTATATTTTAACTCATCGTTTGATTTTTTTTTAACGTTATGTATGCAGTCATTTAACAACACTGGTCAACCAGATCTTTCCCGATTTCTTATCACGGATGGTAGGTTTATTCTTGACGCATTAGGTACATGGCATATCCAACGAATCGATTGTTCCCCTACCTAACTAAACCTAACACTAAGGAGGCAGAAGTTGTAAGAGAATCGAGTTAGGGCTTGCCCACCTTTGTCAGCAGAACGTAGCCCGCATAATCCGTTTTCCCAGCTACTGAGAACAAACCATTTTTCTGTGTCTACGTTGTCTTTAGTCAGGTCTGAATGACACCAAGTCATTCTCTCAGTCTAATGTTTGATCATCCCGTATGCGGATCAAATCACATCCGGACCCTCCACACACTTTCTTCAGCCAAAAACAGTTCACAACGTCCATTGAATTTATCAAGTGTGACTACGAGCTTAATAGGGCGAAACGAATACCATTTACCACAATCGATACAAAACTAGAAAGAACCGGAATGTTTACCAGGAAAAGTACTTAAAAACAATGGTCTTCCCTGCCCCATAGATCTCTATATTGCATTCAATAGTTCGTTCTCTACTCGAATCCCGAAATATGCAGCCAGTGTAATTCAATGATCTGGAGGCCAGGAGGCTAGAACCTTAGCTGTTGACAATAAAATAAAAAGTAAACCGTTCAGCTGTAACATCCTTCCGGTGCCTAGCTGCCATGCCACCCGGAGGAAGCACAAGGGCTGGGACGCTGCCAGGTTGCCCAAGCCTAGACAGGGGAAGTTGAGAGACAGGTCGGGTTCGAACCACGGACCTTCCGGTCAGTAATCTCGCGCTCTAAACCACGGACCTCCGGTCAGTAATCTCGCGCTCTAACCACTTGGGCCATCTGGACAGAATGCTTAATGTTGAACTGTTGAACTTAATGTTTGGACTGTTGGTGGAAAGACTGATCAGTTTCTAATTTCACCCAGATGGAGCCCGACAACGTGTGACGGTATGAGCAGGTAGTCCTCTACATTAATTTATGGTCCTCATTCGTTCCTAGAAGTGGCTGTCACGTTTGATTCATCCACTATGTGTACCTTTTTTATGGTAACGCGAAGAAGACTGCGGAATTGAAAACTACCTAGTCCCGTTTCTGTAGTAGTTTAATCACCTGAAACGTGTTCCGGCCTGTTTTAATATTTTTGAAATGGTTCGTGACGCTAACAATATCAACTTGTGAGAATTTTATTGCATATACCGACCCAGGTATTTCGCTTCTTATCATACCGCACATGCTGGCAGACTGAATAGGTTCTGTACACCATAAGTTCGAGCACTGGTGTTTCAGCTCTGTTCTTTCACTTGTGATAGGTTTCCCTAGGTTAGCAGCATTCTAGTTACTGGACCTTTAAGTAGTTTACACGAGTTACTCTGAAAACCTGTTTCTGATTGGTCAAGCAAAAGAGCGCGCCCACAATGCAACGACGCACGCATTGTTCTCATACGGGTGCGAAATTTGCCATCTCCAGACCACTAAAGTTCACAGGCCGTTTTCTGAGGTCGATGGGAGTACCGTGTTTTGGCTCATACTCCTTCAGGCGTGATTTCAATTTCCTTCATTTTGGTGGCTATGTTATATTTTGTGTGTCCATGACCATCCACCACCGACCACTATTTATGCGTTCTGGCAAGGTTTTGAAAAGAACGGGAGATTCAGCGCTAGCAAAGGAGAATAAAAGAAATCACGAGGCGTCTGGGTTCTGTCGGTGTAATCTGCTCCCCAGGATGGGGTCCACGGACTTGTGTAGACAGTTGAGAGCGGTAACATGTACTTGCAGTTCGACGTCATTGGTCTTCGTGCTTAGAGTAATAGGCCCCTGGATTGTGATGGCCAAGCACCAGGACTCTTTCTCCCTTCCTGTTCGCGTGACTTTGTGCGAATCAGCATCTTTGTGTACTTCCTTTAGCTGTGGCAACCTTTTTAGTTCTTAACTGTTATATACCACTCGAAGGAAGTACGAGGGCTGGACTATTGCCTGTAGACAGGGGAATTCGAAATGCGCGAGCCTTCCGTTCAGTAAATTCGCGCTCTAACCCCTGACCCGTCTCGCCCCTTGTGTACATCACGTTAACATTACGCCCAGTGATACTATGAGGATGGTGATTAGCTGGTTGTGAACTAGGTCTTTAACCAGATTTTTAGAGATTTTGATTAGTTCCCATGAAGCCCAACCTCGGTACTTTTTAGCCTCATCGATTGATCATTCACCTAAATTTTGACATGATAATTCGTCCTATCGACCCAGTAATCATGCATTCTCCACCACACTCGTGATGGATACGGCTATGATTTTATGAGCATCAGCTAGCGCGGAATACCTTAATGACTAGCTGCAACTTCCACACTCAATCCTCCCTTTCCACAAACATTTGTTATTGAGAAATTTGTTCCACATTCAGTACACAAACAACCGGTCTAGTGACCCTCCACGTAAATAAAAACTCTCCCCATCAAATGTGATGAAAATTTTCATTTTCGAGTGATCTTCCTTTCCGCCTTCTGTCTTCCGTATGACTTCCTTCTAATTCGACATGCGGCAAACTTTTTTGGCTGGCGCAGATTTTCTCATCTGAGCAACAAATGTTGGCCAGGCTCCATACAACTGTCAACTATGTTTGATCCCTGATAGGTGACTGGTAAAATGAGTAAATTCGCGCTCTAACCACTAGACTATCTCACCACTTTCAGAGCGGCAAGTGACCATTTCTCTGGAACGGACTAAAGAGTGAATATATATATATATATATATAACGATAGCAGGTATCGGTGTAATAGAAACATGTTTCAAAACAAGGTTTGTAAACGATGGGTGGTATCCACTCGGATTAGAGGCGATACTTTACAGAAGCTCTGCTAGCTTATTTTCCGCCATACAGTTACTCCAGTCTCATTATAGGGGCATTGTTACGAGGAGGGCTCTGACTTTCGAAGCAGTTTTCCACATCAGCTTCTCATCCCTGGTTTGTTCCCTCTCAGGCTAGGCGCCTGCACCTGTTTGCGTTTCGACTGATTCATTAGCGTGGTAAGTTGGTATCGTCTAGCAATAGCGAATGCGTTGGTTTGAGTTCTATCTTGCCAGTATTAGGAGAACATACCGAGCTAGTTAGGTTCTTCGTGCGATTTGGCAGTCAATGAATTGGACCCCCATTGGATTGCTGTGAGCACTGGTATGATCCATCCACATCTGAAATTTGAACCTGTGCCATGCTGGGCATTCTTTTTCTTGTATAGCTTTAAAGAAGTGTAAGGATTCGTGGATGAACAAGCTTTCACTTTTGAAGGAGACTCAAAGCTCTCCAAATAACCAGTGGTGAAAGTATACTGTCAGTCCAGAAAACTGACTTGCTTATTCTGTTGTTTGGGGTGATTGGTTTGAAATTTTCCGGCAACGACAGTGGGTGGAAAGGAGAGTAATGTACTTTGATAATATGCCATCCTCCAGACTGGAGTTTAGTGTTATGGAGGTGCTTCAGGATTCCCGAGTGTAACTTGCCATGTTCCTGATGGTGGAGGGACTAGACGTGGGCTAAACGTAGGCAGGGGATGGCTTGTGAGAGCAGTTCCCCAGCGTGTTTTACTAGGACTGTTAAATTCAGCATTAATTGACGAGTTTAAGAGGTTTGTGTTTTCCGCTACTTTTTCTTGCAATATCAACAACTTCTCTGGCTTGACAGCAAACCAATTATTTAATCAATCCTGTCCTTGTTGTTAATCACATGTGAGCCCTGTTAACACAGACGCTAAAATGTGTCTGTATTCCCATACTTACACATGTGGAACCATCATTCCTGGAGAGAGATGTAGGTGGGCGATTGCGCTGATTCACAAAATTCTCCGCCTACGTTATTCTTCACTTGCCTATGTTTCTGTGTCACGCCTTTTCTGTAACATTGTTTGTCCCTTCGTCGGTCACTTTTAAAGCTCTGGCCTGAGTCTTTGTTTGGCTTAATACCTCTGTATCGAACCGGTAGCTTTTTACCCACTTCTTTGTTCTGAACACTAGCCACCTCTATGCGGAAATGTGCCCATTCACATGCGCGTCACGTATCTGGTCCACCAAAACGGTTTCAGGGCTGTCAAGTTTAGTGCAGATGCTGCCAACTTCCTAGGACAGAATTCCGGGACAAGCAAAGAGGCAATCGCTACCTGTGCTAGTGCTATCATCTCGGTATCTCTTTACTGTGCCATATAGGCCTGGTGCCGCCTATTTTCAGGTGACAGGTTTTTGGTTTTCACATAAAAGATGGTCTTTGTGGTCTTTGGACAAACGCATGAGTTGTAGGGTGTGTTGGTAACTGGCACTAGTTTGGTTGCACCTACGCATCGATCAACTATCTAATTACAGTCCAGATTCGTCTCATATATCTTATCTAGCCCTGTGTACTTCCGTTATAATGTAGACCTCTTTAGTACTTTGTGTAAAGGACATATCAGAGGCGTGTTCACTAGGGATACTGATCTACATTTGCTCTGAAGGGCTTCCCAGCAATCTCACTATATGCTTAGTATTCGTCGTAATGTTTGAGGGGAGACCGTAATTTGGAACAAACTGAAGCAAAACTTCTATGCAGTGACCGGTGAGAGGACCTACCAGAGGCGGTCGTGTCACTGCTTGTGTTTGGGTTTCTCCTACCCCATGGCGTGGTTGTTCCCTTTGAGCGAAGAGCATAATAAAGAGTCCACGGAACTGTGTCAAGATTAGAGAAGTGTTCCTGTTAGTGACGGGTTATGAATATAAGGAAGTAGATCTTCACCGGTTGCTAGAATGTTGAAATCTCATTCGGGATCACCAGTCATTTGTTTGTTAATAGGTGGCATACGAATACCTCGTCAATACTGAATGACTTCCTGGTTGTGCAACCAAACGTTCGGACACCTCTTTTACTGTCTTTTGTTACTAGCGCTACTGGGTTGATGCAAATTGTTCTAACCAAGATCTGGTCGTATTTGCCTGGAACCAAAATGTCTTTTGATCGTCATCATCACCTTCTGGTTTATCACAAATTCTATCGTTGAAACACTGTTTGGCACACATCGGTGAAGCAGTTCAACGGAACTTTTGGAACAACTAATTAAAAGATAGCTTCCATCTCCAGGTGTTCCGGAGCTCCATCGTTTATCTACGCGGGCAGTTTTGATCGATACTGCCGTGATCGGAGCAGGAGCCTTTGTTTCCCCTCCTAGTAACAGGTTTTCTCAATGTACCATTCAGTCACTAGCATGGACGTAACAGAAACGAAGCTGATGCTTTTGTGGTTGACACAAGAGGCTACCAAGCTGGTCTTAGAGACAGGGATGGTACCTTTGGTACCTTTTAAGTTTAATGTTCATGTCCCAGGACCATTGTTAGTGCATACATGAGGATTTCTTTTCCCCTCTTGGAAGATGAATGATGAATGAACTGTGCGCAGGAACCTTTGTCTCGTTTAGTCAGTTTCACTTCCGATGTAATTCCACATCTCTGTTGTGTCCGGGTACGTAAGCTAAATTGGCCAGCTGACCTGTTCGGAATGTCATCCTACTATTCAAGGCAGCTGGACTCCTTTTTTGCACGTATCTTTGTTAACAGTCAAGCTTCAACCGGCCGTATGGTTTTTTCTAGATAAGTTATCTTCTCCGGCAGAATCCAGCTTCAACTTCGGACGAATTTGGCGAATTTTTGGCTGGTTCGTAACGCTTCAATTAAACATCAATTTCTGGGGTTTCAACTTTTGTTGCACAACAGGGCATCTGATCACTTATGTTGATTATAAGTTCTGGTGGATGGGATATTTTAGTCAACTGTTCAACCGCTATTCAGGGAGTTTGAAAGGATTCTTATCGGGCTCCGCGGTCGCTCGTCACATCAAGTACGTCACCTCGACGGAGGATGGGATCGTTCAGATAGTCGCTCCAGAAACAGAACATCAGGTGATAATGATATCCCACCTGTGCGTCTCTGCTACTGGAGCTGATTCGCGGTTTCTTTACCCTGTCTGAGAAACAAAAGCAGTTTTATCTGGCTGGGTGATTCATTCCTTCCGCTGCTGCTGTGTAAAGCTGGCAAGTCAATCTGCAAAATTCACCGGGATATCAACCTCGTCGACGTCGCGTTGGAAATGCCCGAAACACTTCTGCTTATTCGGATTTCCATTATAAGGTACGCACGCATCAACCTATTTAAGGAGTCTACCGTCCGACAGGAGGTGATATCAGAAGGTTCTTACTATTCGTCCAATATTGTCTTAATTCGCCACAACTGCATAGGTTTCCAAATCGCCTTCGACTTTGCTGATCGCTTGTCAAAACGGCACCTAAGCCATGATACGGTCACGATCTGCTGGCCGACGACAAGGGACGTTTTTGTCACATCGTGTTCTCGGCTAGCGATCTGGTGAACCGTTCGGAGGGTGGTTTTGCACCTCCTCAATTTGATTGGTCGTGACAGTCATATACGTATGCTGTCCTTGAACTGCGGAAAATCTGACACGAGCAATTTATCGTGTTGTTTTCTCTAGGCGGTTTTGTCTTTCGGTCGTTAGTCTTAGTGAACGAGACTTGTTACGGTATGATCATTGCCTTATTCGTCGATCACATCAGAGCTAAAATATATACAAATATGCCTTTATTATAGTTTATTTTTGAAGAGCATGGTCACAAACGTAACAAGTGATTTCAAGTGATAGATGTGGAAAGGTGTAGAGTAGAATATTATAAAACGAAGGAAGCGTCCCATTCGAAGGCGTGCGATCAATTATTCCAGTAGGACAAGTTGACTACCAGCATGTGTAAGAATGTTTGGAATGGAAACACGCGTTTACAGGCCAGCAGCCGGGTCAGGTGTGAAAGTCAATGGCAAGAATGTACGCTCAACACCATGCGCCACACACATAATTATCGTAAGTTAGTAGAAAACTGAAAACGGTGAGCAAACGAAATTTATTGACTGTGACCTTAGGAAGCCCCAGTCCAATAGCCTTAGCGGGTTGAGGAAAGCAGATCCCTCGGTATGAATTAAGCATTGGTTGGTGGACCGAAAATTCAGCATCACAACCGATTGCATGTAGGGCTGAGGTGATGGCGGGGGAACAATCATAAGCACCATACTTCTGCTAATTCCCCACACATTCGCAATTGCGCGGCGCTTGCGAGCAGCGATTAGGTTGAGCTTGACGAAAAATGTTGACTTAGATGCTCTCAACTCACCGAAAGCGCTCTTTGTCACAACCTCAAAAGATCTAAGCATCTTAATGGGAAGATTGGCATACTATGGGTGAACGGATAGCCAAATATTTGCGATTGCTGTACCAAATCACGCGATTGTGTCACAGCTGGAGGTGTTAGGGAGATTTGTTCGTGGAAGGACTGCTATATTGATATCGCCCCACAGCTAATTACTGCGCCTAAGTATTACTGCTGCGTGCATCGTGGGCATAACACTGGGGCCAACAAGTGTGCTTCCGCTTGCATTCACGGTTTGCCTACACTGTCTAGAAATCGTTCTCCTGTGTTTGTGGCGGCCTCAAGTACGATGGTGGTATGACTGGGGGTAAATGCGCTCGATACACCATAGCAGTCAGATCACCATGATTTAGATGAAGTCTCAGCAGCACCTACTAGTAATGATAGGCCGAAATGCTGTCTGCAACAAGTGTTATTCAAGCAGCGTAGCAAAACGGTCATTCGAGACCTTTTACGTTAAGGAGATCATCGGTGCCTGGTTGTCTTCCTACTTCTCCAGCACATCTTCATTAGTGGTATTAGTTCCCTCACTTACTGGTAGATATGTTTATGGACGCAGTTTTTTGTCCATCGCAAGTGCTCTTTGTTTAATGCTGGTTAATAAATCGCTCTTCTTTGTCACCAAAGTTTGGGTTCTTTCTGTAGTTTATATTGTTGTTGGGGAAAATTCTGCTCCTGTAGAAGAACGTTTGTGGGCTCTCCGTGTCGCTGCCTTCCTCGCACAGGACCATTAAGATTTACGTTTGCACCCAGAATCCCTCTCAACACGATCACATCACAAAACCACTTGACTGTCACGTGGTATCATGATCCAGCTGCGTGGAAAGTACGTAATGTGATGAAATGTGCCATCTTGTGTTAGAGGTGGATGGCTCTTTCGTTGCATGTTTACTGTTCTGAATATAGGGTCGAGGGTAATCACTATTGTCAACAGGGCCAGCAACACCTGTGTTGATTTTGGCGCCTCACTGCTGTACAGTCTGAAGCCTGTTCGAACTGATGACTCCCTGTGGTTTAGAAATCCTTGAAGCTTTTTGGTTTACATTTTCGACTCACAAAACGTAATATATTACGACTCGTTGTATAAATAGTCGTTTTTTTTAATGCCGCTGTGTTCATCGATGCTGTCGGGTTTCTCTTTCACTGAGCTTGGTTATTTTTCTCAAAGTACTTTGAAGCTTGAGTAAGTACTTACTCACAAGACCAAATCACGCTGTGGGTTATCGGAGACACGTGAATTAGGCAACCACATATTTACCGGCGCCCTGTCATGTGATGAGAACTTCAGTACGTGTCGTTTTCAGGGCAATTACGTTTTACTCTTTCTTGTTGACGCTCGTCTCAGCAGTTCCGTTGCGTGATTCTAATTTCTTCTCTTTTTGATTTTGTTTAGGAATGGAGGCGAGCTCATGTGGGTATCACAGCAACAACGGATCGATATTCCACGCAGGAAAAGAGCTCCCAACGTCCGGCCCCACTTTCGGCGAAACAGATGTCATTGGCTGTGGTGTGAATTTCGTCACTAATTCCGTATTCTTTACCAAAAACGGTGTATTTATGGGACCGATAAGCATAGGAAGAAAGCTGGTATGTCAAGTTATGTGTATCAGTAAACCGGTTTTCACACGTCGCCTACATTTGTTATGTGCTAATTAAACCGCTTGACACGTTAACGAATTAATTGACGAAATCAGAATGTTCAGACTGAAGTACCAATCTACAATGGGCCAGTTTACATAAGCCCCGTTACCTGTATCCATAGTTCTGCGAATGCCTCGAGTGATGTTTAGGATACCTCTGTTTTATTTCGTTCCAGACGCTAAGTAGTGCGAAATATAGCATTTGATGCACCTCCCGTGTGGTTTGATGGTATTTTTAACATTCATGGGTCCCCCTCCCCTAGGAAGCATTTTAATAAGACAGCATATTGAGAAGTTTTGATGTATAAGGAGTCCCAACAGCCGAAGAAAGGCATATATTTGATTCAGACACTTGCAGTCAGTTTTTTCAGCATTATTTCCCACTTCACGGTTAACCTTGCAAGCCAGCATTGTATGTGGCGACAAAATCCAGCGAACGTTTCCGTGTACACGAACGTCATCATCATCATCATCATCATCGACAGCATGACATCAGTGTTCAACACCGATGCTTCACTGCCGTACAACCATGACTTATTTGAAAGCCTTATTGTAAAGAAAAGAATAAAGGTGGATGGGGGAGGGACTTAGTGCTAGCTTAACACAATGACTCCGAGGTGCCTACACCTCCAGACATTCACTCAGGCAATCTGGATAGAAACTGACAACAAGAACGCCACTGACATCGGTTGGCAGCCATATCTTGTAGTGTCTCCAACCAGGCACAGTGAGGATCACGCGGTCCCCATCCTGGAAGGCGAGTAGCACCGACAACACCCAAGCGTTTCGTGATCTCCTTCATACTCCTCTGCCA